GTGCACCTTTGCTGTGCAGCCCACCTCCACGTGGACAGAGCGCCAGGCAGGCAGGACAGGCTCTTCTGGCCAATGCATGGGAGTGCCTGTAGTGGCAGGCGGCTGCCACGGCCCGGGCCACAGGGCCTGTGTGGCAGGACACTCCCAGGGTCAGCTTGCTTCTGTTTACCACCACTAACATTTCCCAAGAAACACATCAGAACTAGTTTCTCAGGGAAGCGTGTGCTGTCCTGGAACCTCTCAGGCCTTGAACACTAAGATCTTCCCTGCGCTCTCCTCACGCCTTCAGGTTCTCTTCTAGCAGGGCTCTGTGCCAGAGGCTACTCTGGGCTGGACGTTGGGTCAGATGTTCGTAATGGTGTTTACTGGTCACTTACAGGATAGGCATTATACTAAGGATGAGACAGAAGAGAGAGAGAGAGAGAATCTTTCATATCTCTGCAGCCCTGAAGGCTAAGTACCTGTTACACAAATGAGTAAACTGAGGGTTAAACTGATTGCACAAAGGTTTATAGCCCCCAGTCTGTGCTCTTATCCTTTTGCTCATTGTTAACATGTCTAAGACTTAACTTCTCTGGTGACATTGCACCTCAAAAGTATAGGGTGTGGGTCTCCACAGCAGCTGACAGAGCACTGGGCACACTGGGGTACTGATGATTGATTAATACCTGGTGATTGATTAATCCCTGGGATTAAGCCTCAGAATAGGAGGATGGAGGGGGACTTTAAAAAAGAATTTGGAGAGAACGTAAGCAGCTTCCTGTGGGGGCAAAAGCCCAGTTCTGCCTATTGGCGGTGTAGGATTATGTGCACAGGGAGCACAGTGGGGAAGCTCATCCTGCTCTACTATTAAAAGGAAAAAACAAAACCTTTAAAACTCCCCAATGTCTGCAGAATACGTCAGAATAAGACTATTGATTAATAATTTATTTAGGATTAGTATCTCTCTCCCATTTGTTTGTCTTTTTGTGTTGCTTCCAGAGAGAATCTCTCAGTTTGATCTTCCAAGTAATTGAGTTTCTCTTCAGCTGTGTCTAATTTACTCTTCAGAACACCTACTGAGATTTTACTTTCTTCCATCATAGATGGCATTTCCAAAATCTCTAGCTGGTTATCTTGCACAACAGCTTATTCTTGTTTGGCTGAGACTGTGAATCATTCTCCTTTTAAAGTCACTTTCAGTCTGCTCTAATAACTTTTTTCTCAGGTTTAATTCTTTGAACTGATGAGTTTGGTTCCTGCCTCCACGTGTCACAGAGGAGGGTCAGGATATGCTCCTGGTGAGTGTGGCCATCGTTAGTGGTCTGGGAACAGTTTCCTGTGCTTCCTGGTGTCAGCGGCTGCCCATGCTATCCCCCCTCTCCTGTCCCAGTCCGGGGGATGCACCTCTGTGCCCTGTCATTTGCACAAGCAGGCCCCTCCTCTCTGACCCTTACCCCAAGGCCGTCTCCTGCTCTGGTGTCTGTCTCCTCTGAACTTGGAGCCCCCAAAGCTGCTGCTTTGTCCAGCAGCCCCCTCCTGTGTGTGCTGGGGGCTGTGGTTTCCTCCATCAATCTAACCCAGTCTGTCTTCCAACAACCTCTACTACCGGTCTTCCCTGGTGGCACAGTGGTTAAGAATCTGCCTGCTATGCAGGGGACACGGGTTTGAGCCCTGGTCCGGGGAGATCCCACATGCCACAGAGCAACTAAGCCCTTGCACCACAACTACTGAGCCTGCGCTCTAGAGCCCGTGAGCCACAACTACTGAGCCCGTGCACCTAGATCCCGTGCTCCTCAACAAGAGAAGCCACCGCAATGAGAAGCCTGTGCACCGCAATGAAGAGTAGCCCCCGATCGCCGCAACTAGAGAAAGGCTGCGTCCAGCAATGGAAACCCAATGCAGCCAAAAAATAAATAAATTTATAAAAAAAAAAAAAAAGAATATGCCTGCCAATGCAGGGGACACAGGTTCGAACCCTGGTCTGGGAAGATCCCACATGCCACAGAGCAACTAAGCCTGTGTGCCTCAACTACTGAGCCTGCTCGCCTAGAGCCTGTGCTCTGCAACAAGAGAAGCCACTGCGATGAGAAGCTTGTGCACCACAACGAAGAGTAGCCCCCGCTCGCCGCCACTGGAGAAAGCCCGCGTGCAGCAACAAAGACCCAACACAGCCAAAAATAAATAAAAATTTAAAAATTTATATAAAATATAAGCTCTACTACTTTCTAGTCTTGCAGTACTGTTAGAGATTTGTGAGTTGTTTGTTTTGTTTTGTTTTTTGCTTATGGCCTTTTCTGTCATTTCTAAGGATTTGGGATGAAAGCGGGAAGCGGGCCTGCATGTTTGGTTTACCATTGTAATCACGACTTCTGATGACCCATGCACTTGTAGTCCACACCTCGGTGTCTGGCATTGGATTTTTCTGTAGTTGTGTCATCACGCTCGTTTTTTTCTGCCCAGCTGTGAGCTGCTCTGGGCAAGGACCATATCCTGTATAGGCAATAGAATATGGCGCACAACAGGGCACACGGACTTGATGAATGCTTATTCACGACCTCTGACGACTCCGTGTATTTGCATATGCAAATATGTTCCTTATCTGAAGTGCCCTTCCCCTCTTTTCCACCTGGTAAACCCCTACTCTTTCAAAACTCCGGCTAAAATGTCAATCTTGCCACTCTTCTTGGAAACCTCCCATGGTGTTTTTCCCATTCAGACTTGGTTTCCCCTCCTCTCCCAGCCCTTTATAACTTCGGCTACAGAATTTATCACATAGCATCGCATTGCATTTTTATGAGACTCTCCCCATGAACTGTGAGCTCCTTGAAGACTGGGTTCTTGACAGTCATGGCCTGTCCTGGGGGGCACTGCTTGGGCCAATGGGGGATCTTGTGCACAAAGCAGGCTGACGTCTGGCTGGGCCATGGCCTTGCTCAGCTTCATGGGTCAAAGGCTGGTGTCCACAGTGCCCTCAAGTGCCTTATGCTGGGAACACAGTATGGAAGGTTATTCAGACCCCTCTGCTGCTGAAAACAACTTAATATACTGGATATAATTAATGTAGTAAGAGTGTCATTGAAACATTAAGTGGCTGGTGAGATAGTGAGGAATTACCAGTCCAGATCCAAGAAAGGCAGAATCAGAGACGCAAATAAGACGTTGGGCTGCGTTTGCCTCAGGTGAACCTGAGCTTTGGGTCTGATGGTGTCCAGCAGTAAAGGGAACAGAATTTAGGGCCCAGTGAAAGTAATAGTAGATCCTTCCCTCATAAATCCAGGACCTTCGGGGGCCTGCAAGGAAAAGTGTCACAGCACAGAACAGTGAAGGAGGGTAGAAAAGCCACAATCTAGCTGCCTCTCAAGGTTTGCAGCCCCAGTTCCCATCACCTAGGTGGTCCAAAATACCTGAATGCATGGATTTAATTTCAAGTGGCCCCAGACCAGGAGTGCCCCCTGGTGCCCGGACAGAGCAAGCTCATGTCCTCTCTGGAGGAAGGCATGTTCCTCTCAGGACAGAGACCACCCACAAAGTGTTTTCAAGGCTAATGAGCATCAAACAAGAAAAAATAACCAACCAGCCAGAGAACCAAGTGAACACTAGAAGAAACAAAGACAACAAAAATAGACCAATGAAGACTTCAGTTATTATTTGGATTACCAGATACAGATTATAATCAACTATGTTTATTTTATCTTATTTAAGGGAAATACCTTTGAAGGACCAGGACCTCTAGAAAGTGACCTAGCATATTTTAAAAAGAACCAGATAGAACTTGAAGAAATGAAAAATAAAATAAACAAAATTAAAGATTCTGATGGTTTGGGTTAACAGGAAATTAGACAGAGATGAAGAGAAGATCAGTGCCCTGGAAGACAGAACTGAAGAAATGACCTACACAGAGAGACCAGGATCTGATAAAGGACAACTTGAGAAAAAGCCGCAGCAAACCTAATATTACATTTGAAATAATGAAAACTTTGCCTTTCAATAAAGGAACAAGACAGAGATGCCTGTTATCATTTCTTTTCAAGGTAGTACTGGAGGTCCCAGCCAGTGCAGAAGGGCTATAGGTGAAAAGTGTGTTTCCCTTCTGGGACCAGAAGGGAAACAATCAAATGGCCATTTTTCTCAGATAATGTGAACGGGAAGAAAGACAGTCCAGAAGAATCTATAGATAAGTTATTAGGACTAATAAGAGAGTTTAGTAAGACTGGTGAACACAAAATGTATATATTTCAATCATATATCTGCAGAAACAAACAAGAAGAAAATAAAATTTTATTTAAAAAAGGATAATATCAAGTATCTAGAAATTGGTCTAAAAAGAGATATCTATGACCTCTACAGGGAAAATAAGCCTTCTTAAAAGACATTAAAGAAATCCTAAATGAATGGAGAGATGTTCCCTGTTTTTAAACTGGAAGACTTGTTATTATAGATATCAAGTCTGCCTAAAATGATCTGTACATTAATTCAACCCCAACAAAATCCCCAAGGGGGACAAACTGACTGCAGTACACATATAAGGAGGTGCAAAGAACCGGGAAGAGTCCAGGCTTATTCTAAAGCTGTGGTAACTGAGACGGGGTGGTGCTGGCACAGGACAGGCATGGACCATTGGAAGAGTTTGCAGACAGACACGTGCGACGTCTGTGCACCCTTGACTGAGAACAGAGAAGGCACAGCAGAGCAGCAGGGCAGGCTGCCAGGCAGTGCTTAGATGGAGGTCAGGACTTGGACTCCTGGAGTGAGAGATGGGGACATGCTGGCCGTTAGCTACTGGGGAGGTGGGGAGTCTCTTGGTGTGAGCTGTGTAGGTCACTCCCCTCTCCCAGCCTCAGCTTCCCACATGCAAAATAGGTGGATGGAACTAGACAGCAGGGGAGCCTTTCCACTTTCCAGCTCTGGTTTATTCAGCCCTGGGTTGAATGGTGGCTGTCTGTCAGCACAAAGCCAGGGCAAAGACAGGCTGCACCATTGACAACCTTCTGATGCCTCTTCCTTTTGTCTTTCGCAAGGTGTCCCCGAAATGGAGCACTGAAGACCACCCAGAGAGCAGCAGTGTCTCTGAGTAAGTACGGGGGCGGCGGCGGGGGGAAGCACATCTCCACCAGAGTCACAGCCACCCTACCCGCCCCCCCAAGCCTCCGCATACCCGGCCCTGGCCCCACCCTTTCACTCAGAAGCTATTTGCAGTGGCTCATCTGTAAATGAGGCACAGTCCTTGGCCTTCAGGAGTTTACAGACTAGAGGGATGTCAGGTGGGTCCCCCATAATCCCATTACAGCGTTAGCAGGAAAACACATTTAAAACCCCTGGAAAGTGTCATCTGAGGACCCCAGGCCCAGAGACCAGGCCTCCTCTGTCTGCACGGTCCTGGGCTGTGGGAGGATTCCAGGGCCCCAGGAGCAGCCAGCACCGGGAAGCTGTGCGGGGGGTGACCTTGGGCCTCTGGCTCATCGTGCCCTTGGCTTTCTCATCTCTAATTGGCTCACGGTGATCGGCCCTGGGTCACTGGGAGGTAGGTGAGTGTGATGCTCAAGACCAGAGATGTGAAAATTCTGGCTCAACAGCTATTCTTATTACCAATTCCAAACGGCTTCAGGGCCAGAACTTTGCCGGTTTCCCTTATTTAACAAACATTTGAGGAGACCTTCTCCCAAAGATTGGGGTCTCTTCACACGGGCTCAAGGGAGGTCTGAAAGGGGACAGAACTGCCGAGGGCTTGTGGAGGAGCTGATGTTTAAGTGGCTTGCAGGACATGCATTTTCACCAAGGAGAGAGGAGGGCGGTGCGTTCCAGGTGGTGGGATCCACAAGCAAGACCCAGGTCCGAACAGGACACCACGCACAGGCTGGTGACATTTAGCACAGGGTCTGGGGGCAGAAGGAGGGCCTTGAAGGCCAAGCTGAAACCGTGGGCCACTGCTGTCCAGTCAGAGGACGCTGGGGTCAGCTCTGGGCACTGGGACTCCACCGTGGCCGTGGAGGTGAAGCGGTGAGCACATGTACACGGGCTCCGCCCCTTGCCAAGGCCAGCGCTTCACTCAGCAGAGAGGAGCATCCCTCCCGGTCCCCCCTCACAGCCCCTGCTCTTCACTTGTTTTGCAAACCGTCACAGGCTCCGCTTAGCACGGCTGCCTGCGGGTGGGCTCAACGACCCCGTGCACTCCCGTGCTGGACCGGGCGCTGTGTCTCGCTGCAGTGACCGGGCGCCAGGGCGGCTCTGCTCCGCTGACCTGGACGCCCGAGCACATGGTGCGGCTGAGGACCTGGGCCCGGCGCAGTGCCAACGGAGCTCAGTCCCGCCTGCATATTTCTACTGACTGTAGAGATAACTGGCAGTGACTTTCTTAAGTTTTCATCACCCCAAGGACTTTAGGAGGATTAAGTTCTGCCTCGAACAAATTAGCTGTTTCTTCTTATTTTTAAATGAATAGGTCCCTTCACCTCACATGCGAACTCCAGGACATCCCTCACCAGGAGCACTTCATTCATTCATTCATTCATTCACTCCCTCAATTTACTTTAGTGGGAGCGTCCTGAGTGCCACGCTAGGCCCTGGACTCCAGGCTGGGTGGGTCCCAGGCTGGTCCTGGCTCAGTGGCGGCAGAGGGGAGAGCGTCATGAAGGTGAAATCAGGGCTGTGCCTCCCGGGAGCTGGCTCTGAAGCCATACAGGCCTCCCCCAGGGTCTGGACTGGCAGTAGTCCTGACCGTCCTCGATGTCGGCCACGCCCTTTCCCCAGGGTTGGGGTGTGGAAGCAACAGAGCTGAGCCAGCCGGGCTGGCTTTGAGGACAGGGCTGGGCTGGCCTGACCTGAAGTCTGTGGGGATCCGGTAACAGAAGCCTAGGGCCTGTGGAGGGGAAACGGATTCAGGAGGCTTCTGTCTGCAGCTGCTGCTGAAATTTGCTCATTATTTATTCTGTAAATGCTTGTGGGATACCTACTATAAGCCAGGCCTAGGCCAGGCACCCCGTTTTCCTAATGAGTAAACAGATACAAGGTATGATTTGCCCATGGTCAAAGGGCCAGTAAATTCTAGACCCAACAGATAGTACAAATGACTCGCCTCATTTCGCATGTGGCTCTGTAGCCCAGTTATAATTGATTTGCTCTCTCTGGGGAAGGGTAATGGGTTTTTGTTTTGCATGACTTTAGGAATCTCTGACATAGTGAATTATAATTTAAACAAAGATTCAATTCTTGACTCCTCAGTCCCTCTAGGAACCATCTCTCCCTTTTAATGTCGTGCTCCCCTCCCCCAAGTAGGGGGAGACCCCCACCTTGGTCTTCAGGCCCCCGGGCTGGCAGCCCCACGGCCGCTGGTGGACAGTGTTGCCCGCTGGGATGGCGTGAGGCCGAGTGGAGCCCCGGCTGCTGGGGCTGCAACACCTCCTGTCGGCCTCCCCTGCCAGCCTCCTCATCAGCCTCCCCTGCTGGCCTCCTCTGCCGGCCCTGCCTCCTCGCCCCCTTTCTCCCCCATGTCCCAACTGCAGGGAGCGTCGGGTGCCTAGAGAGAAAGGCCTTGCTGAGCTGTGGGACCGGATGAGGACGGTCTGTAGCCAGGTCACCATGGGACCGTGGGCAAGGCATTTCTCCCCCATCCACAGAGAGGGGGCTGGCCTGGGTGACCCCAGAGGGCTATGCGGGAGGCACGTGTCATCTCTGGGCTTGGGGAAGTGGAGTCCCGCTGTTAGACCCTCATCCTTGCTGTTCAGCGCTGGGGGGCCTGTTAGGCGGCACACACCCTGAGGTGACAGTCAAGTGGTCCAGAGCCCAGCTCCTGCCCTGCATTCCGGGACAGCAGACAGGGCCCTGGAGGCTGCTCTGCACATGTCAGGAGCGCGACGGCAGTGATCAGGTGGGCCTTAGAGATCATCCAGCCCAGCCCCCCAGCTCACATGGCAGCAGGTCTCTGGCTGGCAGGTGGGAGCTCAAGGTCCCATACCTGGCAGTGGGCAGCTCTGTCCTAACTCCTCCTTCAGAGGTAGCCCCTCAGGCTGGCAGCACCCAGTTCGGCCCAGGTTTCACACCGTCCCACCTGTCAAAGGTGCTGAAGGGGGCAAGGCCATGGCCAGGCACAGGTGGACACCGCCGTGGGACAGCCTGCAGGACAGGGAAGTCGGGGGCACAACAGAGTCCAGAAAGCCAGATAGGGGGTGGGCAGCTGGGTCCAGGCCGGTGGGAACCACTTCCAGGGGCCCAGGCGGCAGGATGAGGATCCGGGATTTGGTCACTTAATACACTGCCCAGCAGGTTGGGGGAGTGGCCAGGATCCTGACGGGATCCTGACGCCCAATCCTGTCCCAGAGTGGCAGCTCCTGTGAGACACCCCCGCCCACCCAAGGGGCAGGCACAGGGAGTGAGTCAGGCCGATGGATAGTCGAGACACAGCTCACCTTTGCTGAGGGCTGTGCAGGGTGCAAAATTCGGTGTCACACGCTGTCCACGCGTTATCTCATTTATGCCTCAGAATGAATTTAGGAATACAGCTCCATTTTAGAGAAAATTATCACTGAGCTAGTAAGTGGCAGAGCTGGGATTCAAGCTGGGTCTTCCCACCCCCCCGGGCCCTCACCCTTAAGCATCACAGGCACTGGCTTCCTCACAGCGTAAGGTCTTGGGTAACGTCGGGGAGATGAAACCAGAGAATCAGGCAGGGGCCTGCTCATGGAAGAGGTTGAGGAGGTGTTCCCGGGGCAGAGGTTTTCAGTTTTAGTTTTAGGATGGATCAGAATTCCATACAGGGGCCACCGTGGTTGTCCAGTAGAGATGTGGAGTTTGAAGGTAAAATCTTGTTTCCCATGTCCATGTTTCTCACCCACAGAGCCCCAGGCAGCTGCCACAGGAGGCCTGAGAGGCAGTCAGCCATCACGTACGACTACTCCGAGGAGGAGCTGATGGCCAGCATCGAGCAGGAGTACTGCTGCTAAGGCTGGTGCTGCAGCAGCCCGGTGGTCACCCAGCGGCCAGTGCGCCGTTCCTCCCAGCCCCAGCCCCAGCCGACTGGGTCTCTTAGGAGCCTAGGCTGGGCGCACACATCCCCCTGCCCTGCCCAGGGCTCTAGCTGGAGCTTAGCCACCTCCAACATGCAGCTACTCCCAGATCTTTCACAACTGCCCTCTTCAAATCCATATTCAGACAGTCCTGAACGTGGCCAGCAGCTGGCCATCACGCTTGCTGGCAAGAGGTGATCGGCTGTGCAGATCCAGGCCAGAAGGAAGGCACAGGTGCTGCCCCACAGGTGCGTGGGCAGGTAACCTGCCGGATAACTGCCCCTCCTCTCAGTCTCTGGGGAGATCCGTCTACGGGGTTCTCCTGGGTCTTGAAATGCTTCCCCTTTCTGAAGGCCCACTTGCCACCTGCTCCGAAGAAGCCTCTTTAGCTGAGCGTGGCTCAGACTGGACACTTTGGGAACTCTAACACACGTCCCAGAGGGCCCCAAGGAGGTTCCACTCCGGAGGGCACACCCAGGAGGTATGCCTTACCGAGCTGGCGGGAGTCACCCTCTGTTCTGCAAATGAGTCGCCTGGAGATGTTATTGAAACGCAGATTCTGATTCTGTGGGTCTCCAGCAGGGCCTGAGAGTCTGCGTTGTTTCTAACCAGTTCCCAGGTGATACCCAGGCTGCTGGATCCCAGCCATGCCTGGAGTAGCAGGGACCTTGTCGGAGCTTTAGGCCTGGCTGACTCTTCCTTCCCCGGTGCTGGAGGCTGCCCAGAGCCACGACCCACCCACCTCCCCAAAGAGAGGCCTGTGCCCCTGCAGTGGGTACGGTGGGACGGGACGGGAGCCAGAGACCCCGGTTCTGATCCTCGCTCTTGCACTAACTTGCGGTCACTTCCCCCCTCTGGTCCTCAGTGAGGGCCTGGAGGCACGCCCCATCCCCCAGCTCTGACCATCAAGGATCACACAATCCCAGGCTTCCTCGGTCTCTCGTCCCCGTCCCCTGGGGGCACGGGACTGCCTTCCCTGCGGAGGGTGACCACTGGCCACACCTGGAAAGGGTCTTCAGGGCCGCCGGCTCTTCCCACCTGGTAGAAGGTAGAAAAGCACAGCAGTGAGGCCAGGAGAGCCTTAGAACATTCCCAGCTGACTGATGAGAAAGCTGACACCCTGTGAATCAGGCAGGGCCTGGAGGCAAGTGCTTCTTGCACTAGACGTGCACAGAGGGCCTACTGGGTGCCGAGCGCAGCTCCAGGCCTTCTCTTGGTTGCTGGGTGTTGCTTCTGAGCCCCAGCCTTCTGCTCTGGAGCTGAGTGTGGAACCTGCTCATGAAGGGGAGAGGGGGGAATGTGGCTGAAATAGAGGCAGGAAGAAAAACGTCTCCACGTCGAAGGTGACAATGACACATCGATGTCTGGAAAAGTCTCAGTGCCACACACATGTCTCCTGGCTTCTGTGGTGGTGAGTTCCTCTGAGATGCTACAAAGCCCAGGAATTTAGAAAACACGCCCCGTTCCCAGCTCTGAGAAATGTTGTGTCCGTCCTCCTGGGGAAGCCAGGCCAGGGCCCTCCTTCTGCCCCTCGCACGACTTCTCAAAGGGGCCCCGCCTGGCTCAGGTTCCCTCTCCTCACCTAAGGTGAGCTTTTCCAAGACACTCCCTTTTTTTTTTTTTTTTTTTTTTTTTTTCTTGCGTTATGCGGGCCTCTCTCTGTTGTGGCCTCTCCCATTTGCGGAGCACAGGCTCCGGACGCGCAGGCTCAGCGGCCATGGCTCACGGGCCCAGCCACTCCGCGGCATGTGGGATCTTCCCGAAACGGGGCACGAACCCGCGTCTCCTGCATCGGCAGGCGGACTCTCAAGCACTGCGCCACCAGGGAAGCCCCAAGACACTCCCTTTTGATGTTCCGAAGTCTCAGAGCCACTTCTCACTGGGCTGCCACCCAGTGAGATAGCACCACTGGGTGGACGCCCCGGGGAATTTCTGTTCAACCCCCCCCCCACTCGTTCTCACCTTCTGAGCCCCTGCTGCCGTGAGCCCGGCCCTCTGCTGGATGCCAGGGTTCGTGTAGCAAGATGTGGTCTCCACTAGTGAGGATATGCTGTTTCTAGAGGCGCACCTGTAAACATGGACCCACGGCTGTCAAAGAACTGTAGCCAAAAGCCCTCTGAAGATCTAGCCTCTGTGGATTGGGGATGTGGCTCTTTTTCTGGGCTGGCGATAGTTAGGCAGGAGAAAAGCCTTCTTGGTTGCCTTTGAGGGGACAAATAACACTTGAGGCTCAGAAGTCCTGTGCTCTCCCTAGGAAGGAGATGATGTAAAACCAGACCTGTGAGGTGGTGCCATCTGGACCCCCTGGCACCAAATCAGACCTTAACAGGTGGGCGGGGCTCAATTTTCTGGTGTGATGAAACCCCTCTGGAAACAAAAAGCTGCCTTTTCTGTGACGTGTGGACCCTGGGAAGGAGCGGTGACACATTTTAAGTCCTCGAGAGGTGGATGACATCTGACGGACACCCTGTGGAGCTGGTGTCCCGGGGTGTGCACATGAGACGGAAAAAGCGTGTGGTTTCGTGTGGCACTGAGGGCACGCGGCTGCGCTTTCAAGGTCCAAACCTCCACCAAAATCAGGGTCCTGTCAACAGTAGCACCACGTGGCAGCAAGGTGTCCACACAGCAGGGTGTCCGCTTGGACTGGGTGTCTCTGTCCCTGGAAGGTGGCAGCTACAAAGATCCCAGCCTGGGATAACTAAGCCCGAGAGGTTTAGGACTATTTGCAGGGAAGGGGAGAAACTGCAGAGGGAGGGGCTGACTTTTCTACTAATCTGGTGAGGAAAGGATTTGAGTGAAAAATAAAAATAACATGACCTTAATAGCACAGGTTACAGACACGTTACTTTTTTTTTTTTTTAATTTATCTAACATCTACTTGAAGACGGCGGGCTGCAGGCCAGGCCCTGTGCCAGGTGGGCCCTGGGGGATAAAATAAAGATGTGATGCGAGTGAGCAGAGTGAGGTGGGAAGAGCCGTTGCCGTCGGGGTTCCAGCATCCCCGCTGCTCCCCGTCCTTGGGCAGCTTGGGTGACGGGGACTGGGCTCCCCGGGGAGGACCTGCAGCTTCTCCCTGCCCAACGGCGCCTCTTCCTCCGCCCCGATCGCTGGGACGCCTGAGGGACAAACGGCCGTGCGCTGTGACCCCGTGGAGCCACGCGGATGAGAGGTGGGCGGGTCGCGGGGGTGCCGGGCCCGCGGGCGTCGCGTGGAGGGAGCTGGGGGCGGGTGGGGGGCGGCGGGGGCTCCCACCCGGGTCTGCAGACACTCAAGGGTACCCTGGCTTCGAGCCCGGCCCCACGCCGGCAGGAATTTTCCCGGCACCCCCGGCAGAAGCGCTTCTGAGGGTCCCCGGAGTGGTTTCTGCGGATTGGGTCCCGCGCGGGGAGCCGAGCTCGGGTGCGCCCCCTTGAGGCCGACCGCAGGCCCCCAGGCCCGGCGGGCGGGCCGCGCCGCTGCTGAAGCCTGGGTCCCGGGTTCTTCGGGGGCCCAGAGGTGCGTGTGCGGACTTGCTGCCCCGCTGTGGCCTTTTGGTAGGGGTGTCTCTCAGAAGAACCGCCTGGGCACCACCTGTCACAGCTCGCGTAATTCCCCCACACAGAGCCATCTCCCTGGGTTCCAACATCCAGCCAGGTGGGCATTGGGTCGGGGAGCGCGCACACTGAGCCCGAGGCCCCGCCAACGTCCTGACCCACCGCGTGCGCCTTCTATGCGCCCTCCGAGCGCCTTATCATCTGCTAGGGCGGCCCTCCAACCACGTCGGGTGGCCCTCTGAGAAGTGATACAAGAGACGGCTCCTCAGCCCAGAGATGGACACACGCCCCAGCGCACAGGACTCGCCTCGGTTTCAGGCTGTTCCCCTCCCCCCAGGCGCCCCGTCCGGAGATCTCCAGGGTTTTCTGGGCCGTCCTCTCTTTCTTGGCAGTCTGCCCCTCACCCCCAATGCCTTGGCATCCCTGGACCCTCAGCTCCATCTCCTCGACTCAGGGACTCCTCTGGGTCCCTGCTGAGTTCCTGTCCCTGCACCACAATCTGGAAACCTCCTCAAGGCAGCAAATCTGGGCAGTCACAAGATTCACTTATTTCCTGTCTCTCAGGGTCACTGTCTTTCATGACCTAAGGTCCAGCTCCTGGAAAACTCTCATTTGATACCTTTTGTCTGGTTTTTTTGGGTGTGAGAGTATATTTGTTTCCTGTTACTCCATCATGGGCAGAAGTGGAATTCCTATTACTATCACTTTAATGTTTAAACTGTCACAACTTGGCCAGTGGGAGCCCCTGTGCCGTTTAGCACAGTCCCTGATGCTCTTGCTGGCAGCCGGCAACACAAGAATACTCTAAGCCCATTCTGTTATTTCTGGGCCCTAGCTCCCTTTGATAGAAAACTAAGGTTTTCTTCCACGTACAAAGTAAAAGTTCCAGACCCTGAGATAGGCACACTACCTGCTGCCTCGACCTAGTCTTCACTCTATAAATAAAGAGCCTAAAGATAGAGTACCTTTCTCAGCAACACATAGCTAGATGGAGTCAGACCTGCACCCAGGCCTGCCTCAGGCCAAATCAACACTACCTACCAAAGCAGCCTGCCAGGAGTCTGGTAGACCTTCCCAGGGCCCCTCTTCCCTCAACTCCTTCAAGACGAGAGGTTCTGACCACTCCAGTAGGAACTTGCCATATTTTACTGAACATTGCAAGTCTAATCTACCTGCTAAAATGTAAGCTGCCCCGTGATAGAAATCATATCACATCCATCCATCCATCCATCTATACCCCTACCCACCCATCCACAAGTCTTGTGGGACCCACAAGACTTACAATCAAATTCAATAAAACTGGCAAGTTCTTCCGAGTGGTTAGAACCTCTAGTCTTGAAGGAGTCCAAAGAAGGGGAGCCCTGGGAAGGCTCCCAGAGGCTACCACCAGAGCTGGGCGGTGAGAGCTTAGCTGCCACTGCCCCACCTTGTCATCATCTCACTCTGCCTGTGCATCTCCTCCCCCAGCACCAGTGGACTTGTAGCAACCTGTTTCTTTTTTTTTTAAACAGTCTTCTTTTTTTAAATTAAATTATAGTCTACAATATTATATTAGTTTCAGGTGTACAACATAATGATTTGCTATTTTTCTACATTGCGAAATGCTGACCCCGGTAAGTCTAGTTACCGTCTGTCACCATAGAAAGTTATTACGGTATTATTGAGTATATTCCTTATGCTGTACCTTACATCCCTGTAACGTTTATTTTATAACTTGTTTCTTCCTTATCATCTTTGCTTGTTGGCCAGTTTGTCTGCTGAGATGAGAAGATGCTGGGGAGAGGAAACCTGTTTGCAGAGGCAGCTCTGAGCAATTCTGGGACAACTAGGCTTCCTACAGAGTGGTGAGAGGCTTTTGAGAACGAGCCTCCCTAACTTAGCAGGGACTGAGTGTGTCTCACCCCCCTGGGGTGTGGTGTCCTTGGTGCCCGGACTTCCTCCCAGGATGGGGCCTGGGTGTTAGCAACATGTCTGAAGTCCTTAATTTAAAAAGTCCCTAAACAAAGAGGCAGGCTGAAAGCAAAGGAACAGTGGATGTTACAGCCAGAAAGTAAAATCTTGGTGGCACAGAGGGAGGACAGCAGGTACAGAGTCACAAAGTTGACTAACAGGTGTGTGGCCGGCACCTAGGCGCAAAGGGGCTTGGAACTGGAGAGACTTTTCTAAGTGGATTGCTAAATGCAAAGCGCATTGTGATCCTTTACCATCTCCCCACATACCTGCACACATGCACACATACACACACATACACGCACACACGCATAACCGGGACTAGCGTGGCTTATGGAATCACATTCCAGAATGGTTGGCTTGGGAGGGAAGGCAGTCAACAGGATAGTGACAGACTGGCTGTGGAGCGGGAAAGGAGCCTAGGGCGCCGCCAAGGTTTTGCACCTGAACAGCTAGAAGGATGGACTCCTTGTCCTTTTTAAAGGCAGCGGGGTCACTGTGAGAAAAGCAAGTGTGGAGGAGATGAGGAGTTCAGCCGTCTCAAGTTTGGGATGCTGGTTAGACAGGTGTCAAGCAGAGAGCTGGATACAGGAATTTGAAGCCAGGTGCGGAGTGTAAAGGAGAGACATACATGCGGGGCTCTTCATGGTAGAGAAGTTATTTTTATCTAAGTCCCAAGGCTGGAAAAGATCACCAAGGTTGTGAGGGGAATAGAAGAGGGGCCAGGGAGAGGAGGGGGACCGGCGAAGGAGCAGCGAGGTAAGAGGAGAGCAGCACGGTGCGGCCTGCAGGGGAACCCACCAACCCTGTCCAGTGCCGTTCACAGACAAGCACGACGGGCACCAGGAGCTGAGCCCACGCGAGTGCCTGGCCACACCCACGGGGCCTCCCCTCGCGGGACGTGGATGCACAGCCCCAGCAGAGCGGGCTCGAGAGAGAACGTACTCCAGGGGCAGGAGCGGAGACTGTGGCTCCCTGACGTACCTTTAAAGCCTGGGCTGGGGGTGGGGGAAGGGAGGGAAGAGGCTGCCTCCCATACTCCCCTCTTGACACACGGAGGGCATGAGGATGAGGGTCACGGGTTACCCAGCAGCCACGGTCCTCTACTGCCAAGACCGGTCCTGACGTCAGATTGGCCAACACAGAAGCTGCTCCTTCACACATTTCTTTGAGAAAGGACCCTCCAAAGAAGCCAAAGGGTGCCCTGAAAGCAGAACAGAACCCAAGAAAACAAAGAGGAGGGTCAGGCACTGGGTACACCGGAGTGCAGTTAAATGACACAGGACACAAGTCCAGTTTGCAAATCAAAAAAGTTTTATATGATCCAAAGAAAAAAGTTACATCACACATATTCATTTAAATAATAAGTCAAAGTCTGTTACATAAAACATAATTCTGAAACATTTAACATTTTATTAACTACTTGAAAGGCTCAAAGTCAAAAAAGATCAAGCAAAATTGCTCAGGCAGTAAAGTGCACTGGGGGACGTGCCGCCCGCGCCCTCCTCCGATGCCCGGGCCACAGCGGAGGGACTCCATGCTGAACACGCAACCGCGGGGTTCTGGTTCTCACGCTGCATTTTTCAGATGAAGCTGTTTCCCAATTTACAATCTTTCAATCAACAGAGGGCCAAAAATGTTGTTTACAGAAGGTATTTCAAAGTCTAATCAGGAAATGGAAGTGTAAATCAAAACTTTTTTTTTTTTAACACATCTATCCTTTAGCAACAACACTGCTCAGAGAATGAAGTTCTAGGTGACAAGCAACCAAATACTCAAAGACGTTGTATTATCTACCAGAACTTTAGCAGGACTACCATTACTTTGTGTAATTAAAAATATCCAGATTTAATGCCACTTACAGCATACACATAGAAATGTTTATGCTGATTTAAGATATAAGTGCAAGAAAGAACTGGGTGGTGGGGGAATCACGAACTATAGACATTTAATTCTGGTTCTCTTCCAACTGTAGCATGTCTCATGACCAGCAGG